TTTGCTCTTTCGAGGCGAAGCATTGCCAGATGCGCAATAATGGCCTTTTTAATTATTTCCCAAAACATGTTTGGACGCTGGAATGAGACAGAAAAGTAAGGCTTGGCGTAAATAAACAACAAAGCACAAGCTGGGATTACTGTTTGGAAATGCAGCCACGTGTCAGCGCCTCGTGCTCAATGGTACTTGTTTTTATAACCTCGGACATGAAGAAGTGCTAGACCGTCTCAAATATATATTGAATTACATGTGTTACATATTAAATTGGAAACTCTTACGCTTGGCCGCCAATAGCTCAATGATCGTCGGTTGACGAGTTATTAATAAAATTACAAGTTATTTTATAACGAGCGAAGCTATCTTGATGTAACTTTGCAATAATGCACCACAATTTGATTATATTGATAAGCATAGATGACCCAAAACCCTAGATATTCTGAATCAAGGTGGCAAGAGGGAGACCCATGCACCACTTTGGTCTAGCTCAGACCAATGTGCGTCGTATGGTTCGAGACGCGAGTAACCTACCCCATGAGTGGAGGACTGGCTGACATGATTTGCTGCAAGCGACATTGCAGTAATACGTCTCCCTTTTTTCGAGCCACGTGACAGCACTGGTCCGCCATCAATGGCATTGAACACAGTAAGAATCAGGCTATTCAGAATTTCCATAACTTCTGTGGAGGTGTGCGTGGCCGGCCGTGAAACTTGCTTTGAAATGACCCATTTCCATGCGGAAAGGGTTTACTCCTTGCCATTTGAAACCTAGCAGAATAGCGAAGAACGTCGACTGTCACGCGCTAATCAATCATGAATCTGCCAGTTGCGGAAACACAGTAGAGTGAAACCATAATATACTAGACGGATGATGAACGTTGCGTGTCACTCGATTTATTTTAAGAATATCATTGAATTTGGAGTACTTCGTGGTCCGGGCTCATGGCACAGAAAAGACTCACACGCCCGCCCATCCGCGGTAGCACGCCGCCCTCCAGTCATAGCGCGCTATAGAATGCACACATTCTGCCCAAGGTGCAGGCGTTGTAGCCGTTTATTACCTGAGCTTCGGCCAGCACCACCTGTGGGCGACAGGCCGCGATCGCAGGTGCCTGTCCGGTGGCGGCGGCACGCCGCTGCTGAGCGTCTGCTTCCTGCCGCTGTTGCCGCTCCTCAGCAACCCAGCGCTGTCCTGCAGCCCCGCCTCTCGCTCCTCCTGCTCAGCTCACTTCAGACGCAGCCGCTCGGTGTTGGCAAGCCGTTCCACTTGCCGCTCTCCCTTCGGTTACGCAACGCGACCCTCTGAAGCTGTCGCCGTCCTGCACGTCGCAGCCGAGTCGTTCGGTGCGCCTCAGCGAGTTGGGCGTCCACCCCCCACCCCCCCCCCCCCCCCCCCCCTCTCGCCAGCGTGCGGTTTCGGTAGCCCTCGCTGCCTCTTGTTCCCGTCGGGTTCTGAAAAGGTATTCTTTGAAGGCAGTGTTCTTTAAAGGGAGCGTTTCATATTTGAAGACAATGAAGCAAATATTAGACATGAAATAAGCTGACTTATAGCTCTTGGTATATCTTGATGTAATAAAGACTACTCTGGACGCAATTTCTCTTTAAGTAAATATGCTCCTCAACAAGTCATTGTTTGCGTCGTTTTACCTTGCACAACAGCTTGAATGAGAGCCGGTTGACGCCCGGTTCATCCGGAAATCGTCGTCCCGAACGCCAGATATTAACGATCCGACAATTATATTTATATTGGCTTTGATCGTCGCGTGGCCAGCGGGATGACAGATTTTAATGGCGTTATTATTGTGCCATGGATGCTTGGGTGACCTTGAAATAGCCTCCCCGAAATAGTCTGCACATTTTCGTGGGCATGGAGCTCAGAAACTAAAGGGGTTTAAGCTGTAAGAAGGGCAGGGCTGCGAAATTCAACGTGGGTATTCAGCTCAAAACCCCACACAGATAGGATCACTCCTTTTAGAAGTGCAGTCTGTAACATGTACAGTTTTAACGTACTTTTCCCCGTAAGGTTCTTTTAATGTGAGCGTCTGGTGGCACGAGTCTTTAGAAAATGGCATGAATTCATTTGCTCACACAACAGACTTGCACCAAAAAGTCAGCCATTAAATACAAGTAAAAGCGACAGCTACTTACAACACATGTCAGGTCATTTGCAATTATGATAACAAATGCAAAATTTATGAGCCGCTACAGCGTAGTTGATTTGAAGTTGAAGAGCTGGTGGAGTTGTGGCTTTTGTAGGATTGTGTGCTGAGATCTGTACTGTTCTCGCAAATGACTTGCACTCAGAGGCAGTCCGAATGATCTGTACTAGCCAGCAACTTTGCAAGAGCGTGCCCAACGATTGAAGACGAGGATGGAGACTGATGCATACAACACAAGACGGGCCAGCTGCGACTGCGAAAGCAAATACGACTTTCTTTAAGTGTTTTTTTTTGTGTAATAGAAGTTTTTTATTATTGATTGATTATGATTTGATAAGTCATATTATTACTTGAGCGCCGCCGGTCCTCCCAGCTAGTACACCGCTGTGGGTGATCGAAATGTGTTATGCATATTTCACACGAAGCATGACGTGACCCTGAATCGACACCACACAGCTGGCAAGGGATCTGTTCTGATTTCGGCATTTCGTCGTCTGGTCCAACCCAAACACCATGTTTCCATTCATCCAAGTTGCCGTGATGTTTGAAGTATACCAGTATTAACAACACAACAGGGATTGTCGAACGTTTTACTGCCGGTTTTACCGCTCGTTGATGGGCGCCACTAAGCGCGTATTCAAAGTTTATGCGGGGTTCCGTTCTGAAGGGATGACTCGGAGGCGCCGCTGTCTTAGGTCTCAAAAGTTCTGCACCAAAAGACCAGTTTCTGTACCAGAAGTATTGATGATATAGAGACCCCTCTTCCGTTTAAAGAGACCCGTTCCTGGTGAAGAGGCTCCATTCCGGAATAAGGAGACCCGTAGCAAGATCGGAGGGCCCATTTGTCAATCAGGAGGACTTGTTTAGGATCAGAAGACGCTCTTTCGGGGTAAGGAGGCCTATACGCTGGCTTAAGAGGCTCCTTGATTTGTGAAGACGCATTTATTCGGGATCAGGAGGACTATTTTCTGTCTTAGGTGACCTGAATGCCAGGGACCATGTAATTCCCTGTAAATCAATAAACCCAGCTCAGGAGGCCCCCTTCCGCGCCGCCGGGCCATTTTTCGGGGTCTGGATGCGTCTTTTGAAGTCAGGAAGGTTCCTTGTGCGGTTTTAACCTATCTTATCATGGGTATAGGATTTATGCCGTATACTGACATAAGCCTCCATTACCTCTACATTGAACTGTTGTTTACTCCTTCATATGGTCCCAGCGTTTAAGTAAAATGGCTTCGGCTATTATTATCTACTGGCTACTGCAGCGGAAAATATGTCTCAAAAGTACTGGTCTTTGAGAAGCCTATTGACTCGATGGGCACAGCCCGGGCTTGGTCCAGGAGAAGCTTATTGACTCGATGGGCACAGCCCGGGCTTGGTCCAGGAGAAGCTTATTGACTCGATGGGCACAGCCCGGGCTTGGTCCAGGAGAAGCTTATTGACTCGATGGGCACAGCCCGGGCTTGGTCCAGGAGAAGCTTATTGACTCGATGGGCACAGCCCGGGCTTGGTCCAGGAAGAAAGCATGCTCAGGCAGGACCCATGTCCCCATGAAGGCCCTGAAAGGCATGCTAGCTTTCCGGAGCCACATGTCGGCAGCGGGTTCTCACATCAGGAGGGGAGCTGCGGTGCTGACCAGTGATGGTGGTGGAGATTACGCCCGGAATGTTTGCAGCATTGTTCTAACCGCGAATGACCGGAGTTTCCTCCGCCTACCCTTGCTTTTCACCATGCACCGAAAAAGACAGGAGGAATACCGGCATGCCGCATGGATTACTATGGTCACAATGGGGCCAAGTTGGACGCCTCGGATCAACTGATGACCTCTCAGATTGCAGTAAAATTGGGAAGGCCACTCCCATGTGCACTATGGGAAATTTTCGTAATTTAAGGGTGCGTTCCACGTTTACATGGGATTTTGAACTGAAATAGCCATCTTGAACATCAGTCGGTGCAGCTGTCAGCCCCGCCCCTCTTAAGATCTAGAACACTTCAGTTTCTGAGCTAACGCCCGTGACGATGTGCTGGCTTTTCGGGAAGACTGCTTCAAAGTCACCCAGGCACCCATGACGCAATTATAACATTATCCAAATCCTGTCATTCCATTAGCCTTCCGGCAATGGAGGCCAGGAAGGTATAATTGTCCAGTCGCTCATATTTGGCGTTCGTGCGCACTATGTTAAGATATAACGGCCGGCGATCGGCTCGCAGTCAACGTTGCGCAAGGCACGGTGACGTAATCAAGCAATGTCGTATTGAAGGTTATATTTACCTAACAAAGAAATTGTGCTGTCTTTAACAGTTTTTTACTTAAATGTATACCAATAGTTATAAGTGAGCTCATTTCATCATGTCTGATGCTCGCTTCAATAGCCTCGACCGTGGAACGTTCCCTTTAATGACGCATGCTGCAGCATTAATTTATGATGACACCGTGTTGCAGTGGTTGTCGCTCTTTAAAGCGCTTTCAAAAAAAAAAAATGTGTGACTCCTGAAGCTCACACAGGCGCCTGGATATGTTGGCAGTATATACACGGGCACGAACCGCCATCGCCGGCAATACGCGAGTGCATCAGCTTTAAAACTTGCCAACAGGCTGACAACCAGCCAGGCGCCGACTGTCTGGCTAGGAGCCTACGCCTGATGTCGTGTCTAACACTCGTCACGCCCGTACCGCACACCTGCGCGTCGCGCCCGGGCATCGCAGCGGCGCGGCGGCGACGGCCGGCGGTGCGGCCGGATCCGCACCCGCCCCTGCCGACGTGCTGCGCCGAGCACGGCGCCGCCACGGCCAGATACCGCCGCGCCGCCGCAGCGGCAGCACCGCCGTGCACGCGTACTGTCGGGCCGAGCCCGGCCGCCCACGGCAGAGCCGGAGCGAGACGGTCGCGCCGGCCACCATGGACGCCTGCCTCAGCCCCAGCCTGGAGGCAGGCCTCAGCCCTCTCGGCGACGAGGAGGTGAGTGCACGTGCGGGCGGCGCCGCTGCGCCACCAGGTGGGGGCGCCGTATTGATCACGGAGGAATGCAGCTGCTCAGCTGGCGGCCGCGCCGGGTCGGTGGCGTCGTTTTTCCCAGGGCGCCGGTCGATCGCTTCCGTCCCCGCCGCTGGAGGCGCTAATTAGGGGTGCCGCTGGCCGCGGCCTCACGGACACGGGTCCGGCGGTAACGATCCGCTCGGGGGCCGGCGCCGAAGACTTCCGGCTGCCCCCGGCTCCACCAGCCCGGCCGAGCTGCCACGCCACTGCTGTCTGATCAGACACGTTTTGGCGGGCGTCGTTCCCTGGCAGGCAGCACATGCTTCCCTGCTGCCACAGCTCGTCACGGACCGCTCCGGCGAATCGGTGGCGCTTCTGTCCTGGACGCCGCGGTGGCCGCGAAATGGCGCGCTATCAACCCGCCAAATTGCCACTCGCAGCGCCCGGAACCGGCCCATTACCGCAGCGCAGCGCGTTTTTTCCGCACGCCGTGCTGCGCGATCGCGGCTTGCGTTACAAAAACGGCGCAGTGCAGCGCCGGTGACCGACACGGCCTGCCTGGCCCCGGGCCGCGCGCGGAAGCCGTGCGGGGCGAGCGCCGCTGGCGGAGCCCATACAACATGATCCGGCCGGCTCGATATGCAGCCGACACGACATCCGCCGACGGCGGCCGCCGCTCGCTCTAATGGCAGGAAGTTTACCGGCTCAGCCATCTGACGAAATCCCGGTCGAGGGATGCTTGAACCGGAGCCACGGCGGCGGTGAGCCTGACGCGCCGGCGCCCGCTCGGGTCGAGCTCAGGTCGAGCTGTCTGCCGGCGTCCTAGGGCGACCGGCTGGAGACGGCAGCGCGGCGGACTGAGCGGCCACGGAGATCGCACCCCGCCCGAGCGGCCACCTGCGATTGGGAGCGGTGCCTCCTCTGCAGCGCGGCGTGCGTCGAGCTCTGGGAACTTGGGGCTTGCTCTTCGGTGTTCTTCGCTGAGAGAATTTGTACTGCGCGCTGGTACTGGAGGTCTGCAGTAGATTTCCAGCGCGGCTGAGGTTGCATAACGTGTTTATTATTATTATTATTGTCGTATTATTAGTATTATTGTTTGTGTTTATTATTATTATATATCATTATATCATTACTATTATTATATTGTATATTATTATTGGATGTCAGGTACCTTTACGGCTTACCGAATAAAATTAAGAGGTTGGCGTAATCGTTATCGCCCAGATAGCAATGCATTTTACAAGGGAGCAGCACATTTGTGCACGAAAGGCACGACCATGTTTGTTTGCCTAATCAGCAAAACATCTGGGTGGTGATGATGTTGACCTACCCGCTATAGGACAGATATATCTGCGATAGCCACACCAACTTTCTTCAAAATATACAAAACTTATTTTTATGCTTTGCGGTATGTTCATTCCAGCAGCTTCGCTACACCAACTTTCCCCAGCATTCTTCATCTACGGATATACCAGCGTATTTGCGTCAAACTCACTCATGCAATTTCCGCGCCCACATTCCGAGCCGACTCCACGGGACACCATAATACCCACGTGGCTCACGAAGCGTGGCGTTTCGATGGGCGGGAGCGCGGTGGCGCCGGCAGTGCCGTGTGCCCCGTTCCCATTGTCCTGAATCATCGGCGGCGGCGGCGGTGGGCCGACTCGGCCTGCAGCCGGGGTCGGGCGCCGGCTGCAGGCTGCAGGCGGCCGCCATGCCCCGCTGACGGCGCCGTGTCACCGCGCCCGCACGACTCAGACACGCCTCAGCTCACCGTGTCACGCCGCTGTCCGGCCTGCGTCACGGTGTCATGCCGCTGCCTGCCCAATGGCACGTCAGTGCCCGGGCGGGGTCTCGCCGGTGTCCGACCGGTGTCGCGGCTCTGAGCAGTATAATGCTGCTCTGGCCGGCTCCATTTCGCCATGCTGCTGGCACCATGCCGCTGTCTGGCCGGCGCCATGCTGCCATCTGGCCGGCGTCATGCCGCTGTCTGGCCAACGTCATGCCGCTGTCTGGCCGGCGTAATACCTCTGCCTGGATGGCATCATGCCGCTGTCTGGCCAGCGTCACGCCGCTATCTGGTCGACGTCATACTTCTGTCTGGACGGCATCATGTCGCTGTGTGGCCGGCATCATGCCGCTGTGTGGCCGGCGTCACGCCGCTGTCTGGACGGCGTCATATCTCTGTCGGTCGGCGTTGTGTTGCTGTCTGGCCTGCGTCATACCGCTGTCCGAACAGCATCGTACCGCTCTCTGAATGACGTTACATCGCTGTCTGACCAGTAACCCGTCGCTGCCCGGCCTTTATCTGGTCCCTGTCTGGCCGGTAACTCGCCAATGTCTGGCCGGTATCTCACCACTGGCTGTCACCTCGCCACTGCCTGGCCAGTATCTAGCCCGTGACTGTCTGGCTCTGGCTAGATATCGTCACGACACTCGCCAACTGGTCCTCATCAGTTGTTGGTCGGATACTGCAGCGGATGTGCCTGGCCCATGTTCTCTTCGTCTGCATCATATTTTTGCAGCATCGTGGTGATACTAATGTGCCAATATTGTCTCACATGCACGCATGCCAATAAGGCACCATCCTAGTCACAATGGCGTGCAGGTGCTGTCTGTTGTTTAAACCGGAGCTGCAAGAGCCCGTTTATTCGTTTACCATCACTTGTGCCGTGAGGTAATACGGAGTGCAAGATACCCGCCGACGCCTATCATACCTGATTGTTCAACGACAGACTAATTCAGGGTATTTTATGCTGTCCCCTGTGCTATTGATCCGCGCTCCCGGGCATAACTATAACTTCCAACCAGCCGTGTCGAAACCGTCTGGTTGCAAGTTTGCTCGGTTCTCGTCTTCCATCCCAATTAATTTCTTAAGCTCGGCCGCCGAGCGAGCGCTGACAAAGTCTCGGAAAGGTCGGCCCGCTCGGCCTCAGGCTGCGCTCGTCGCCGCTGCGGACGGCATTGATTGGAGCTGGGTGCCGCCGGGTGGAGCGGGCCACTCGGGAGGGCCCAGAGGCCATCAGCGGGAGCGAGCGGGGTCCGTCGTCCGCGGCAGTCTCGCCGGCCCGCCGGGAGGCACCACGGCCCGATGTCGACTCACCGGTGACCGTCCGGAGACGGCCGGGACGACCGCCAGCCGTGTTGCAGAGAGGTGAAGCCACGTAAGCGGCTGTCAGCTGGTGACGCGGACTGAACTGAAATAATACTACCATACCAAACGTATTTCCCAGACTTTGTTCATGTTCATGCTCATATTACTGATCAAAGAAGTTTGTAAATGATGTGATAAATACGTTCTAAATTATGCGTTCCAGCACCACACCATCGACAGACACAAATCTCCTCTGTCTCTCGTTGGAGGGCCCCAATCACCCCGATATTTGAGAAGAAACTGGGTTAAAATCAGAGAGCAAAGCAGAATGTTTTTGGTGTGTTTTGGCGCATGTTTAAACGTTCTCTCCTCGTTTGACTCCCTCAACTTATCTTACAACACTGCGCTCGTGGTACTATCTCATCAGCACGTTTCTAATGTGTTTTGTGGCCAAGCTATGGTATACATTACGAAGTCAGTCTCGTAAACGAAATCCTGGACCGAGCAATACATGGTAGCGGAGATTAGGCTACACAGACCAATACCCTTCCTCACATCGCTAATGTCGATCTGCAATATTTGTGTATGACTCATATGAGGCTATACTCACGGAAGACGCGAATAAAAACAAGTTAAAAAAGTCAGATGAGGCCTGGGACGCAGCCACTAGCAAGTGATGTGATTTGGGATTAGTGTGTCCAAGCTAAATTAGTGTTGATCTTCCTGCTAAGCATTCATGAATACACACATTCCAATGCATCGGTGATACAATTTTAGTATTTGTAATTAGGTGCGTGATTAAAAGACTCCGCTACGGGTCAAAAGTTGGGAAAGGTGGGACATACAGGCCTTCAAGTGTTTTTATTCCAATGCAACACCATTGGGGTAACGTAAAATCTGCAGAGTTGAGATGGGGGGGGGGGGGGAGGGGAGGGAAGGGCGGTGCTTACACTGTCTGTTCAGTATATCGTGTGACGGAGCACAAGGCATAATATAACGGGGCGCAAGGCAGGAGTACAACTGGTATAGTCCTTACATCTGCAGTCGCCATGCTCGTCTCACGCTGTGCAAGGCGCCTTGCCCGTCTTTGACCACCAGGTGTAAAGCTTTGACCACCAGGTGTAAAGCTTTGATCACCAGGTGTAAAGCTTTGACCACCAGGTGTAAAGCTCCAGACCACCAGGTGTAAAGCTCCACGATGGCTACCGTTGGTCAGAATGAGCTTCGCCTGACTGGAATCAGCTATGTATACCTCATCTGCTTTCGAGGATCATCAATTGACCACTGGGAGCCAATGCAATGCCGATCGATGGGTATCGCCGAGGGCATTTCCCCTGTCGGGGGAGGGGGGGGGGGAGGACTGACAGCAGCGTAATTTCACGCTTCAGCGCTCGATGCTCTTTCGGTCGTGACTAGTTCCTTTCCCCGCTGTTTGACATCGCGTGGGACCCAATGGGCCGCAAAGCTGGGCGTGCCGCCTGCTTGTGTCAGTACCGCAGTTTCCATTCAAGGTTGCATCCCCATTGGTGTTCGAAGTGAAGTGCAGTCGCGACATGACGTCATTTGTGACGTCATGGGTAATGAGCACTTGTACGTCGTCAACAATGGTAGACGACACATTATAGCGACGAAGCTGCTCCGTCAAACTCAACCCAACTTGACTTCTTATCTGTACTGATGTGGTATCGAAAAACCTGCGCTACAGATTCTGCCCCCTCCCCAACTTCCCTCCCCGGAGAGCTCCGGAACCAAGTGTCTGATTTCGATCGGCTCAAGTGTCATGCGATATGCTTCAACGAAATTTAAGTTATCAATCCCCACATCCAAGGGTTAGAGTAGAGGCCGTGGAAGAATCCCGGAGTTTTGAATCCGTCTTTAAAGGCAACAG